TTTTTCTGTAGCCCCTCCCCCCCTGGGCCCCGCCCTGCAGGAGTTGGGGGCGGAGCTTCGGGGCCGCGGGGGCGGAGCCACGACCGAGGCCAATCTGCCGCGGCTGCTGAGACAGGTGGGGGCGGGGCTTCCGGAAAAGGGGCGGGGCTTGCTTTAAAAGGGGTGGGGCTTGGGTTAGAGGGGTGGGGCTTGCTTAAAAGGGGCGTGGCTTGCTTTAAAATGGGTGGGAGGGTCAGAAAAAGGGGCGGGGCTTCATTTGGGATGGGCGGGGCTTCATTAAAAGGGGCGTGGCTGAGTGAAAAGGTGCGGGGACTCATTTTAAATGGGCGGGGCTTCATTGAAAGGGGCGTGGCTTCATTAATAGGGGGTGGGGCTTCAGTTTAAAGGGGAGGAGCTTCATTTCAAGGGGCGGGGCTTTGTTAACAGGGGGTGGGGCTTCGGTTTAAAGGGGCGGGGCTTCACTTGAAGGGGAGTGGCTTCATTTAAAGGGGCTGGGCTGCTGCAAAAAGGGGCGGGGACTCCTTTGCAATGGGCGGGGCTTGCTCAAAAGGGGCGTGGCTTTAATTAAGATGGGCGTGGCTCCTAAAAAAGGTGGGAGTTTAATTTGAGGGGCGTGGCTTTGCTTTAAATGGGCGTGGTTTCTTTAAAAATGGCGGGAATTCTATTTTGGGGGCGTGGCTTTGTTTAAAATGGGCGGGGATTTTAATTTTGGGGGCGTGGCTTTGTGGGGAAAGGGGCGGGGCTTCATCCGGGGAAAAGGGGCGTGGCCTGACCCGGGATTGGCCCCGCCCACAGCGCGAATGGGGGCGGAGCTTCGGGAGGGCGGAGCAATCGCAGCTGAGAGCGCAGTGAGTGCTGAAAATTGGGGAAAAACGGGAAAAATGGGAAAAAATGGGAAATAAAATTGGGAAAAAATGAAAAAAAATGGAAAAAATGGGAGAGAAAAATGGGAAAAAATGGGGAAAAAATGGGGAAAAGTGGGGAAAAAATGGGGAAAAGTGGGGAAAAAATTGGGAAAAATGGGGAAAAAAATGGAAAAAAATGTGGAAAAAAAATTTAAAAATGGGAAAAAATGGGAAGAAAAATTGGAAAAATATGGGAAAAGGTGGGGAAAAAATGGGAAAAATTTGTAAAAAAAATGGGGAAAAAATGGGAAAATATGGGGAAAAAATGAGAAAAAAAAGGGGAAAAAATTTGGAAAAAAATTTTAAAAATGGTAAAAAATGGGAAAAAAATTGGGAAAAGGTGGGAAAAAATGGGAAAAATTTGGGGAAAAATTATTAAAAAATAGAAAAAAATTGGGAAAAAAAGGATTTTGTGGGCGGGGCTTGGTGGGGCGTGGTCTGGGGGAAGGGGCGTGTCTGACTTTAGCCCCGCCCCCTTTCCAGTTTCCTGCCCAATCACGAGCRGTGGCTGCAGCCCCACCCCCAGAAGGTTTTCTGCGCCGTTTTCTCCTCCTGCGGCCGCCGATTGCTCAGCGCCTGCCAGGGTGGGCGGGGC